TTAAAAAATTCGACCAAGACTCTGAGACTAATAGTAAAATTGTGTCTGGTATCTTATATCATGGGAAATTTAAAAAAACAGTTTAAAATACCCCTAAAACTGTTTTAGATTTAAGTACTTTTAAACATGTTCCTTGGAAATTTGATACTGGTCACTTAACGTTCATTTTAATTGGCACTTTTATTTACACATTTTCTTTTTTGACAATCCCCCAAAAATATAATATTTTTATTATATCTTTTTTTTATTTACAGAGCAGATGTACCGCGTAAACTTTGAGTTTTTTTTTCTTTTTTGGTACAATTGAACCACAATTTTAATATTTTCACATCAAAGGTAGAATTCTATGATTTTTATTACTTGTGACACACAGGTCAGTGTAATAATTAAAATACTGACCAGCACAAAAGGATGCTCGCTGACCACATCTGTCACTACGGACAACGCTGGACAAGCGCTGTTAAAGTTTTTAAAAATTGTTTTGTTAAGAATGAAAATGGCAAAAAGATGAACATATTTTACTTCTTGTTTATTTGGACGAAATTTAGATAAAAAACTTTTTTCATTTTTTTTGCATTCTTTTAAAGGTAATAACGACGCGCAGAGAATGTAAAATTGTGTTTTCTTTTTTACTATTTCATAATCAAAACAGATTGTTTTCTCTTTTTTACACAAATATAATTGTTTTTTTTTTATTAAAAAAAATATCATCCGGTTCTGGGCCATCGTACTCATTTAAGAGAATGTTAAATGTTTGTTACTTGAAAACAGTAGTGATAAATGTGAAATTTTTTGTCATAAAAGTAGCAAAATGTAAACTAAGTAGTATTTTGACTTCCATACAAAATACTTATTGACTTTAATAATTCCAATTGCCAACTGTGCAGCAGTAACAAAGGAGAGTTCATATAAATGACAGATGAGTATTTCTTGGAAACAGTGGCGAATAAGTACAAAAGTACAAAAATAAATAATAATAAAAGATAAATAAATAAATAAATAAACATTTGCCAAAAAGCAACAGATGAAAAAGAAGGTTTACGTAAATGGCCAATGAATTACCTTTTGAATACCATAAAAGTACACCGAAAATTTCGTACAAAATGGTTTATATAAGAAATTGTAGAACTATATATAGATCAGTGATATATTATGTTGAATTCGTAATTAATTTTCCCAATGTGTTTCCCTACATTTTTCTGTGATTAGCATGACCAGGGTCAACAAGGACGAACACTTAAAAAGTACTTTTAAAGTTGATTGGACACATTTCCCATGTTTTTTTTCAAATATTGAGAAAAACAAACTCTTGAAATATATCATTTGGATATTCTTATAAAAAGTTGTTTGGAAAAAAAGTTAATATAGTTATGAACATTTAAATTATATGATCAATACTTATATTTTGTTTTAGAATATTTTATTATCTGCTGTGTAAATATATGTAATATAGGATCATGTATCTCACACTAGCCAGCAACTTCTACACTAGCCAACAACTTCTACACTAGCCAACAACTTCCACACTAGCCAACAACTTCCACACTAGCCAACAACTTCCACACTAGTCAACAACTTCCATGAATCTGGAGGCATGCTGCTTTTAGATAGAGGCCTTATTAAAACTAAAACTTTGGGTTAATTGGAACATATGAACTTCTTAGATAATTATATAGATGAATTGCGTGATGTACATGTAACTTCTTAGATTTGCTAGAAGGTCCATATATATGTGACACGAGGAATTTAAATATGGAAGTTAAGAACGTACTTGAAAGTTCAAATGGTTGTATACAGATCAGAAAGCAAAAATGTAGTTCGAACAATTTCTGCAACCCAAGGTACAAATCCGGAAATGAAGGAGAAGAATGTAACGGTTATAGCTGTATATCGTGTGGACCGTGGAAAACGTGAACCGGAAACGTGGTTAGCCTTACAGCAGCACCAATCGTAACAACTCGGCAATCTCCGTCAAGTCGCCCGAGGTGTTCCGATTGACAACAGCACGCCAATTTTCATGAAAATTTTGAAAAAAGTATTTATAAGTAAAAATATTGTGAAGTGAACAAAGAAAATAATTTACAAATGGCACATTATATCAAATGTTTCTGACCAAGGAGAGTGTTTCTACAATAAAAACTTTCAGCTTCTGAAAGATGGTTTAAACTAAATAAATTGTTATTCATTTTTACATTTTTTTTACAAAATGTATGTCTATAAACAACCCCCACCCCTCTCTACAAATCTACAGCATGTGATTTTAACCCCTATCTTATTTAGTACTTCACATTAGAAATTCCATTTAAAAAAGTAAAACACCTTGTAGACAATACATTTTCATTCCAGATTTGTTTTTCCCTGTAAACAAGTCAACAACTGTTTTTTGTTTATTTAATGACTAATCAATATGGTTTTCAAATGTTGTTTTTAGATATTAAACCTGATGTTCTTATTAACGACCTGTTGTTATTTACGACCTGTTGTTATTTACGTAAATTACCATTTGATAAAAATAGTATTATATAAACAAAATGTATGTATTTCTTTTTATATCCATAAGTTAATTTTCTTGTTAATTTTCAAACGATTGCAGCGTGGTTGTTTTTGTCTAGAACAGTCGAAAAATCACGTAGTCTTGTTTTATACTTTTTACGGACGTGTCCCCTCCGACAATAAACAGGCCAAGCTACGTTTAAAGGGAGATAACGCGGTTTAATTTATATTGAATTTACTTCAAGAGTTATGCCGATTTCTATTCGTTTGTCCGGACCAAATACGTTTATAGAATTCGACGTACAACATGTTTTGTAAATATCACATGATATTATATTTTATTACTAAAGAAGCACATCTTTAATTATATTTTGGTGTTTATTGTTATTTCTGTATGTATAGAAGGCCATATATTATTATTATTATTATTATTATTATTATTATTATTATTATCATTATTATCATTATCATTATTATTATTATTATTATTTTTATTATTATTATTATTATTATCATTATTATCATTATCATTATTATTATTATTATTATTATTATTATTATTATTATTATTATTATTATCATCATTATTACCATTATTACTATTATTATTATTATTATTATTATTATTATTATTATTATTATTATTGTTATTATTATTATTATTATTATTATTTTTATTATTATTATCACGACAGATATACTTTTTTAATTTAGATATCATACACTTATTAAGTGAAATGAGAAAAAAATATCTGTTTTATTAAAGGCAAACATTGTGTACTTTAAAGTACTTTTATGTTACTTTATTAATGGTACAATGTTATTAGTCATCTGTTTGATTATGGACATATATTATGAAACACCCTGTACTCACGTTTCTTATGAATGCCCTTTTGTTGTATTTTAATGACATGACTGTGTAACTGGTTAAATAAAGAAATATTTTGTTATACACAAATCTCAAACAAAATGAAGAAAAAAAAGAGAATTGATACCTTCTAGAAAGTGTTGTGTGGAGAAAATAATAATGAAAGCACGTGTAAGGTGTCATATGAATATAGTTTATTGATTCAGAAATTCAAAGCGCAGATAAAAGGTGAAACCCAGGGGTCATGGGTTCGAGCTCTACTTGGGTCACGACAATGATTCTTCATATGACACCAGTACTGGCTTGTTCCAGGAAGTGGACTAGAAAGTGATTAATATAAGCTGCCATAAGCTTCGGAGTCGAGCTTAAATAAATAAAATTACGTTTAAACTAAAAAGTGAAAATGTTAATAGAAAATATAAATCGCGCAGTGTTTAAACAAATTTACCAAACAAACATCTAAAAAAATATAGTACAAACAAATGGCGTGCAATGAAAATTTAATTAAGCTGGTTAATGTCAATTAATCGTGTTTTATCGCGTGTAAGTACCTAATCTACGGAAACGTTGAAGGGCCTCATTTTATTGTGCACATAATGTGTATGTCTACTGATTTTTAGCAATAATGAAAACCCGACTTTTTCAGACTGTGACATAACAATATTATATTTCCATCTTTTTGAATATAGAGAAACAAACGAAAAAATAAACCCTTAATGCCATAATTTTATGTAGTTCACCAAACTCCGCTAGGTCCAGTATATAAGGGGAGATCATTGCATGGGAGATTTGTAGTTCGCGAATTTTTGTTAATAACTGTACCAATGACTTTGATTTTTGATAGATACTACGCATGCATTTAAGCATTATCTTTATTTTATGCTCATAACCTCATGTTTAATTGTATTTGTTCACGATTCTTTAAATTTTCTTCATCTGCACTAGCGTCGAGCAAGAGTTACTTCCCTTACCGGATGTGACATAATTGGGAGCTAATTCTATGCAGATATTTTGAGAAAACTAAAGACATCTGTTTGATTACTCTAAAATTGTCAAGTGAATAAAATATATTAAGCTTTCCAAGATCAGAAATATGTGGAATGTTTTTTATAACTTGGAAAGAAATCTCACACGGCACCGTGTGTCTGAGGAAAATTTCCCGGGGGCGGGGGGGGATAAAGCTGGATCCTCGCCATACAGAAGGTAGCTCAGACGGCAAAATTTAAAAAAAAAATACAGAACCGGTCTGATTCACCCCTTTCAAAGACAGAAAATACTATATATGGTCTATATTAACACATTTGAATTCCTAACAACATTTTTCAAGCAAAACAACTCACAAAATAACTAAAATAAAAACAACCTTTAAACAACAACCAAATATATATGCAGTATCTCAAAGAAAATTGCTCTGAAAAAATATTTACAAATATACTTGCAAAAGTCACGTCTATATGAGTAAAAGATCTTAATATAATACTTGTTGGCGTTACAAATGATTCCAAAAAAAGGGACAGATCAAGGAAACGGGACGTAAATAAGCGGAAGAGTTATTTATTACCGGAGCCAATGAAGATGTTGTTATTTCCCCCCAAATTAAGCAATTACTCCATTATGGATAGACGAGTAGATTTTAAAGTAGGAACATTGTATATACATTTTATTTTTCATTTCATATACATGAGTGTATACATGAATAAATGACAACAATGTCAATATATCATAGAAGGTTTTGTTCTATCTTTGTAGTTTGTGGCAGTGATCCAGTTGTTGGCGATCCATTTGGTACCTTTTATGATGTCACATCCGCCATGGAATGATCGCATGTCCACATGACCCAGATACCCGTTCTTAAATTTAAAAAAAAGATAGTGTCATCTTATAAAAACAGTTAAAATAGATGTTTTCATTTCGATCTTAACAAATGAAATTAAGATTAATATGGCTTGGAACGGACATGTTCCTTAAAAATCGCCGTTAGTTGGATAACAAAGGACCGTCCTCGTTAAGCATGCTCGTTGATTGGCTTATTTTCTTCTGGGGCTAACTTATTGTGACGACAAAGAATATGGTGGCTAATTTGGAACGCTTTTGTACATCGTGTTATCGAACTTTCGTCATTTTCGTCCTATCGTTAACGATGTACGCCAAACGGCGCGTTGTCGTGCGGCGTGTTGTCGCGATGTCACATTGTCGCTCGGTGCAAATCGAAGGATTGGCTTATAAGCCAAGCGACAGGACAACGCGCCGTTTGACGTGCTTCGCTAGAGACAGGACGACAAGACGATAGCACAACAACGCGCCGATTGGCGCATTGTCGTGTTGTCGCTAGCGAACAAGACGAAAAGGCGATAACGATATAGGTTGCGCAACGCGCAATGTAGCCACCATAGGATAACGATAGAAAAGTCATATTCAGACGTTGGTATGTTTGTCACATTTTTTTTTTTTTTTTTTTTTGGGGGGGGGGGGGGAGGGGGTTCATATTGTGACGACAGGGAACATGTTTTTATTTTTGACTATTGTACAAAAGAGAGAAGACGCCAAAACACTCAGCAATGTGATTTATACTCGTGGGATATGCTCCCTCGTATAAACCACATAGCCACGTATTTCGATGCTCTTTCTATATTACTTATAAAACTAAGCTATAAGCTTACCTCATCTAGTAAATGATTATACCACATTATTGCGGTGCCTCGTTTTGGACTGACAACAACCGATGCATTATAACAGTAATGGCTAAGATCGTGCCACGTCTGAACTTCTCCTCTCCTCGGGAACTTTTCCTATAATATATAATGTATATATAAATAAACGGTAAAATATTATGTTGAACATCCAGTCTTTTTTTGTCTAGTTCTCTGTAAATTAAACATTCAATCCACATAAGAGCTTTCAGTTTCATTCTTTTTGTCAAAAAATGTGCCAAGCTAGAAAATTTAATGATATTAGTTATAAAGATTTATGAAAATATAATAATTTATTTGAAAATATAACCAAACAATCGTTTATATACGGTTATATAACCAGTCATGAATATTTATAACGAATTTATAATGAAGAAAACTTCCTTTGTTAGACAAAAAAAAAGAAATTTCTTCATAAATTTATATAGGGCCATATAGCCTGTTTAAAATATTTATTACTAATAAAATAAAATTCACGATTATCCAATGAAAAGCGACGTTTTAACAAACGTGCAATATCATTATCTCATTTATAGCCGAGTTTTCTGTTTAATCTATATAAAAAACAAATACAAACAAAGGATCATAAAATAAAATAATTATATTACACTGACTTATCATGCCCTTCTTAGTGCCATATTTTTTTCTTGATCTTTTTATTTATTTATCACTAAACCACATCCTTTCATAACTATTCAATTTTGGCTTGAACTATGCCTTTTTTGTATCCCTACATGATAGCATTTTATTTCTGGTTCGTATTCCATTGATCTGTTTATCATGCCTCGTTGTCTCTTCACTACAAACTTTTTTATTTATACATGTACATGTTTTTTTTGTGTTTTTTTTTTTAAAAAATATTTATAACATTTTTATCACTGTGGGTGTGTAACATACCTGGAATAAATCCTCCGACATATCAGCTAATGGGAATGCTGTTTGCCCACCTTCATCTACATCATTAAGGTAATATAATACTGTAATGTACCTACAAATATAAACTTAAATGTTACTTCTAGTATGAATATGAGTATAATATAGCCCTCAAAGTTAGTTTATTCCGTTCAACTGTTCATGTATAAAAGAAAATAAACAAATCATTTTCGAAAAAAATACTGTTTTATAATAAGCAAGCAGTCTTTTGTTGACATTTTGAAAATAAAAAATGGAGACTAAGAACAGAATTTTTCTTCGAGTTTCACTGCTAACAAATCATCTGTTAATGTTCGATCAAATTCTTGATCGTAACACCAACATGCTATACGTTTGACAAAATTCTATAAAATTCAAACTTGAAAAGGCACCGGACTTCTTCCTACACCAGTTAAGCTGGAAAGTCGACATACAACCTCTTCTGTGTTAGTACGACGTAAAACCCAACCAAATAATAATAATGATAATAAACCAACACAATGTTCTGAACACGTGAGTCAAAATAGATTCTTTCAGGTCTCAGCAATTGGAGGCATGCAATCATACGTAAAAATTCAAACATTTGTCTGTCACTAAATTGTTAAAACATTCTAAAATGTAAGTAAAAACACAAAATAATCAATCTTCATGTAAACCTGCCATCTTTATCAAATGTGGCCTGTTGTAAACTTACCTATATATTCTACAACACTCCTCATGGTAGTAAACTTACCTATATATTCTACAACAATCCTCGTGGTAATAAACTTACCTACATATTCTACAGCACTCCTCGTGGTAGTAAACTTACCTGCATATTCTACAACACTCCTCATGGAAGTTAACTTACCGACATATTCTACAACACTCCTCATGGTAGTAAACTTACCTACATATTCTACAACACTCCTCGTGCTAGTAAACTTATCTACATATTCTACAACACTCCTCATGGTAGTAAACTTACTTACATATTCTACAACACTCCTCATGGTAGTACACTTACCTACATATTCTACAACAATCCTCGTGCTTGTAAACTTACCGACATATTCTACAACACTCCTAATGGTAGTATACTTACATATATATTCTACAACACTCCTCATGCTAGTAAACTTAATTATATATTTCACAACACTCCTCGTGGTAGTGAACTTACCTACATATTCTACAACACTCCTCGTGGAAGTAAACTTACCTACATATTCTACAACACTCCTCGTGGTAGTAAACTTACCTACATATTCTACAACACTCCTCATATTCCTCATTACTGATATCTATTTCGAGACATTCTGGTGTTTGAAAGCAGCATGGTAAATGTAATCTGTTTGTAGTGTCTGTTGAATCAATGTGTGCATGATAATGTCCTCCACGTACATAACTAACAACCTGGTGAAATAATTTCAACATTATTATGTAGCATTATTATGTAGCATTATTATGTAGCATTATAATGTGCATTATTATGTAGCATTATTATGTAGCATTATTCTGTAGCATTATTCTGTTGCATTATTATGTAGCATTATTATGTAGCATTATTATATAGCATTATTATGAACATTTCCACGCTTTAGAAGGGGATACGAATCCTGAAAGAGTGGAAAACAACTTCTGCCACTTTAGTCTGGCCAAATATTCAAGTACATGTTATATGAAGGTAATGTCAAATTAATGGTAGATCTATACAACTATTGTATGACGTTGGTATGTATCTGGCTAATATGTCAGATTTTCACCGAGGCCGAGGCTAGGTCGATAGCATCATCATACAATGAATGATTGTATAGATCTGCCATTAATTTGACATTACTTTCAGTCTAGCAGATATGTTAAAAGCACATTAAATTCTTAAGAAATGTCAAACAAGTATTTAACAATGTTTTAATAATGAATTAAGAGCAAGTTAGATGAAGAAAGTAATGCTGAATGTGAAGTAATGTATCGTAAAGGTATCAACATGTAAGCAAACTGGTATTTTGACTTCCATACAAAATACTTATTCACTATAACATATCCAATTACCAACAGAGATAAAGGAGCAAAAGATGATTAATGTTTATGGCAAATGGATAAATGGATATTTGTTTGGAAACTGTGGTGAGATACCAAAAAAAAAAAAGAAAAGTTTATGAGAAAAGAAAATGAATGCATTTCTAAGGCATAATGGGCCTTTAAATTTGATATATACTTAACATGAATTGTTTTGATGACCATATATGTGAGATAACAACATATTTTTCTACTTATCAATGCACCATTTTTGTAAAAATAAAAATAAATAAGACGTATGTACAGACAATTTAATATATCACTTTGATAGATAGGCTATTTATGCCTTAGTTTTCAATGAACCCATCTAATATAGTCTTTGTAACAAAGATTTGACGTTTAAAACAACTTAAAATGAATTTATTTTGTATAGACAAATGTACCTGCATTTCTTCACTTATCTGTAGCTGCTCCATGGGTAACTGTGTCAACTTAGACAATCTGCAATATATAAAGACTTTTTAAACTATTGTTTTTTACACCGTTTAACACGTATTTGAATTCGCAGTAATAGTTAATTAGTCAATAATGTTAGAATTATCTCCCCTGTTTAAGACTTGGTGCGCATCAAACTCCGCGCAGGGGTTACTTTTTTAACGCTACCCTGTAAGTGGGAGATTGGGCGCGCATAATAAAATGCAGGATATTTTGCAACGGAAAAGTTTTGAATCCTAATGCATATAATGAATTAGAATTTAGCTCTGAACGGTATTTACATGCACTGTCTTTCAAAGGAGCTCCAGATAGGTTAAAATACCACCTAAAACATAAAATTTGAAATTCTTTCTAAGATCAAGTGAATCGATTCAAATAGAAAATCTGCAAGAGATAAATGGAGAGATATTCTCAAAACTAAATTGAACACTGATCCTTTTGTGCGATTCTTAGCCAAATTTAGGTGAAATGTGTTGCAACGCTTTTTTTTATTGTTGGGTCATTTTGAACAATAAAATGATTATTCTGGAAAAGAACGGGGTGAGGGAATGATCTGAAAATATGCACATCAGTTAGTGCTTCAGACCTACATCAACTGGTACACAAATCTTGAAAAAATATTTTCAGTCCCATCATGTCAAAATTCCTCGCGGAGTCCCTTTAAGTTTAGAAATGCATTATCTAAAGTAAAATTCTCTTCACATAAGCCAGCTATTACTTTAAACAGAGTAGAAAGAAATGGGCGTTATTGTATTTTTATTTTTTTCTGTGTGTAAAAACAAAGAATACCACTTGTAGTTATATGCCCGTTGTACAAAATATTAGAATTCAATTCATAAAGGCACATTTACATTTTATTAACAAAACAAACAAACAAAAAAAAAAAACCCAACCCAAATGGTATTAAGTCTACAGAGCCTCAAATGTGACTTTTATAGACAAGTAGTCTTTATTTTCAGGCTACTCTGTTCTATTTAATCAATGAAGGGTTGTTGAAAAACTGGCCTTTATTTACAGTGTGATGTTTATTCGGAGGTGTATTTAACACAGGTTCAACTATATATGTAATTCATATGAACTATATGTACTTCATTTTTAGTCTGTGTATGAAATTGAATTGTATGTTAATACAGTGTATCTTATTCATCCGTAACAAAATAAAACCTTTTAATATGTAAATTGTGTTCACTGTTAAATCACATGGTTAATCTATGTTATATTGTATGAAAAAAAAGTATGGCAAAAAAAAAAAAAAAAAAAAAAAAAAAAAAAAAAACTTTATTGTTTACGTCAATAAAATTGTTATTTCTTTATTTTCTTTCTTCTCTAATATATCGATCAGAGAGATTGTCTCCATTTTGAGGTATGAGAAATATCTCATGTTTTGTTAACGTGAATTATGAAAGTCATTTGCAGTAAACAAATTTTCGATTACAATTAATGTAAGGAAAGGAATAAATAGCAAAAAGACGGATGTTAAAACCGCAATGGTAAAACTAATCTGTGTACAATCTCGCAATTGAACGCCCGAGGGAAGACCCAAAATCAAACGTAAAATATATATTTTAAAGCGAGGTATATTACTTATTGAAGCAAATAGATTTTTTGTTGACAGCAAACATTTTCTTTTATGACTAACAATGATTTAGACTGAAGAAAAACAATATTGATGATCAGTTTATATTGATTCGTACAAGTACATGTATAATAACTTTATCCAGTATAACAATAAAAAGTCAATGTAAATTTTACACGACAAGTTCTGAAATCTATTAACATTTATAATACATCAGTTATATTATGTTTTTATTTATTTTATTACTTGTAAATTGTTATTTTATGATCGCGATCTTATAATATAAACATATATATATTATTTTTACACATTATAGATGGCAATTTGGGAAATTGTCATTACAAGTCTTAAGCATCTGGCAGCTGTAGAGACGGGGAAAGTTTTCAAAATAGCTTTTTCAATCTTCATGCTCAATCCGTCAACAATTTTTATTATGTACTTTATTATGTTAATGAAAATATTACAAATAAGATATTGTCAAAACTAAACTTAACATCTGGCAAGATTATCTTGGTTGTTTTTCGTTTCGCCTAACATGTAGACTTTTTAAGCGGCTTTCAGCTTTTATTTTTTGTATGAAAAAACAAATCTTTGTTGTTTTAAACTAAGTTTTTCAATAATTTTATCTTGGAAAAGTGCATTTTATCACTCAAAACAGCGTCCTAAGATCTATTTATAGTGCGCCAGTGAGGTTTGTTTCTAAAAATAAAAGATCGTGTCCGCTTTACTAATATACACATACAGAAAGCGAGGTATCGAGGGGTTTCTTAATTGTTTAAGTATTTTATCGACGGCAAATTTCACTTGCCTCCAGAATTCTTTTGATTTTGACAATATATGAAGCAATTTATCTAAAATATCAAATTTAACATTTCGATACCTGAAGGCCGCTTTAAGTCTTAAACAAAAATAACGGTCATTTCAATATAAAGATAATCTTTATTGATGAATGAATGTTTTTAGATATATATTTGTATTAATTATGCATTACGGAAACTGTTTCATTTCATTTTCGTAAAAATATTATGATACTGGAGTATATAAATACCGTTTCAACAGCTTTTCCCAGAATGGAAGAGGCATGTTTCTAGACGATAACCAAGTCTGTTCGCTCACCCTACTCATCTGTAACAAGAAAATTAAACCTTAAAACGCTGAATTATTTTACAATACAATATTCATATATTACCTCGGATATATCATTGACTTGAGATATTTTACGATACAATGTCCATATATTATTTCGGATATATCATTGTCTTGGGATATTTTACAATGCAATGGTCATATATTACCTCAGATATATCATTGACTTGGGATATTTTACAATATAATACTCATATATAACCTCGGATATATCATTGACTTGAGTTATATTACAATACAATATTCATATATTACCTCAGATATATCTTTGACTTGAGTTATTTTACAATATAATAATCATATATTACCTCGGATATATCATTGACTTGAGTTATTTTACTATATAATACTCATATATTACCTCGGATATATCATTGACTTGGGATATTTTACGATACAATGTCCATATATTATTTCGGATATATCATTGTCTTGGGATATTTTACAATGCAATGGTGATATATTACCTCAGATATATCATTGACTTGAGTTATTTTACAATATAATACTCATATATTACCTCGGATATATCATTGACTTGAGTTATTTTACAATATAATACTCATATATTACCTCTGATATATCATTGACTTGGGATATTTTACAATACAATATTCATATATTACCTCGGATATATCATTGACTTGGGATATTTTACAATATAATACTCATATATAACCTCGGATATAGAATTTGCTTAGGATATTTTACAATACCATGTTCATATATTACATTAGATATATAATTGACTTGGGATATTTTACAATATAATGTTCTTATATTATCTCGGATATATCATTGACTTGGGATATTTTACAATATAATACTCATATATTACCTCGGATATAACATTGACTTGGGATATTTTACAATATAATACTCATATATTACCTAGGATATGTAACTGACTTGGGATATTTTACAATACAATGGTCATATAATACCTCGGATATATCATTAACTTGGGATATTTTACAATATCATACTCATATATTACCGCGGATATGTAACTGACTTTGGATATTTTACAATACAATGGTCATATATTACCTCGGATATATTATTGACTTGAGATATTTTACAATACAATGGCCATATATTACCTCGGATATATCATTGACTTGAGATATTTTACAATACAATGGCCATATAATACCTCGGATATATCATTGACTTGAGATATTTTACAATACATTGTACAATGGTCATATATTACCTCGGATATATCATTGACTTGAGATATTTTACAATACAATGGCCATATATTACCTCGGATATATTATTGACCTGGGATATTTTTCAATACAATGGCCATATATTACCTCGGATATATCATTTACTTGGGATATTTTACAATACAATGACCATATATTACCTCGGATATATCATTGACTTGGGATATTTTACAATACAATGGCCATATATTACCTCGGATATATCATTGACCTGGGATATTTTACAATACAATACTAATACATTACCTCGGATATATCATTGACTTGGGATATTTTACAATACAATGGCCATATATTACCTCGGATATATCATTTACTTGGGATATTTTACAATACAATGTTCATACATTACCTCGGATATATCATTGACTTGGGATATTTTACAATACAATGTTCATATATTACCTCGGATATATCATTTACTTGGGATATTTTACAATACAATGTTCATATATTACCTTGGATATATCATTTACTTGGGATATTTTACAAAACAATGTTCATATATATCCTTGGATATCTCATTGACTTGGGATATTTTACAAAACAATGGCCATATATTACCTCGGATATATCATTTACTTGGGATATTTTACAATACAATACTCGTACAGTACCTCGGATATATCATTGACTTGGGATATTTTACAATACAATGGCCATATATTACCTCGGATATATCATTGACTTGGGATATTTTACAATACAATACTCATACATTACCTCGGATATATCATTGCCTTGGGATATTTTACAATACAATGGCCATATATTACCTCGGATATATCATTGACTTGGGATATTTTACAATACAATGGCCATATATTACCCTCGGATATATCATTGACCTGGGATATTTTACAATACAATGGCCATATATTACCTGGATATATCATTGACATGGGATATTTTACAATACAATGGCCATACATTACCTCGGATATATCATTGACTTGGGATATTTTACAATACAATGTTCATATATTACCCCGGATATATCATTTACTTGGGATATTTTACAAAACAATGTTCATATATTACATTGTATATATCATTTACTTGGGATATTTTACAATACAATGTTCATACATTACATTGGATATATCATTTACTTGGGATATTTTACAATACAATGTTCATATATTACCTTGGATATTTCATTTACTTGGGATATTTTACAATACAATGTTCATACATTACCTTGGATATATCATTTACTTGGGATATTTTACAAAACAATGTTCATATATTACCTCAGATATATCATTGGCTTGGGATATTTTACAATACAATGTTCATACATCACCTCGGATATATCATTGGCTTGGGATATTTTACAATACAATGTTCATACATTACCTCGGATATATCATTGACTTGGGATATTTTACAATACATTGTTCATATATTACCTCGGATATATCATTGACCTGGGATATTTTACAATACAATGTTCATATATTACCTCGGATATATAATTGACTTGGGATATTTTACAATACAATGGTCATATATTACCTCGGATATATAACTGACTTGGGATATTTTACAATACAATGGTCATATATACCTCGGATATCTCATTGACTTGGGATATTTTACAATACAATGTTACCTCGGATATATCATTTACTTGAGTTATTTTACAATATAATACTCATATATTACCTCGGATATATCATTGACTTGGGATATTTTACAATACAGTGGTCATATATGTACCTCGGATATATCATTGACTTGGGAACGTTCCTCCTCTATGTCGGCACCAACAACTCCACTCCTCTCTAAACCAGCGTCCAGGGCCGCTGAGATTATCCTGTTACTTTCTATAAGCGACAAATAGTTTGGTATCTCTGTTGATAAAATAACAGAATAACATGACAATATATATAAGTAATGCATACAATAGAGTTTTGAGAAAAATACTCTTGAAAATCAATATTTGTTTTGAGAAAAAGCATGAGGTTTAAATGTATAAAAATTTAGTACGCTTCAATGCTTAAAGTTTGATCAAGAATAATTGTCAGTAAAAAAAGATTTTATGCCTAAGTGATTTCTTAAAGATATTGGTCGTGAAAAAGCCAGAAATTTATAAATAAGAAAATGAACGTGTCATGTTCTGGTAGGCTCACGCAGTTTCTATATTTCTAAGTTACAGTTTAAATCTCGTATTAATGTTTTATATTTAACAAAAATTCATCTTTTTTATACGTACATATATCATATAGATAGTGATACTTGATTTATGTAATAGTTGAAGTTTTACCAAATATTGGAGGATTCACAGATCTTGTAATTCTTTTGTAGATTTTTCCCTCTTCAAGTTCAATGTCGACCACATCTCCAACCTTTCCTAGAAAGAAATATAGGTAGTTATTTGAGGATTGCTGAAGTATAAGGGGTCATTATACAGAGACAGGGCATACTGTACAAGCAAAGTGTCACCAGCAATATGCTTTTGACTGTTAGTACCGCGGCTCTACCGACTGAGCTTTCCGGCCGCTTGCACATCTTCTCACGTAAATAATGAACAGTTCTGAACCGTGACAAAAATGCAAATTGAAAATGCTCCATTACACAAAGTTAACAAGGTAAAAGCTGACGTTATACCAAATGTATGAGTAGCTTTTGCTGGTCTGATTATAAAACAGAATGTTGTCTTCATCGCCAAAATACTACGATATCAATATTGCTTTTAGAGAAATAAGAAGCGTTTATTCATGGGAGAAACCTATGAAGGTCTGACCAATGGTACGTATGATATCTCTCTAAAGTCCCCATAATATTAAACAGATTTTTGTGAGAGATATGTCAAGCGAATACCCGGATATAAAATGAATAGTAAAAAAAATTAATACAAAAATAAAGACTTCTAAAGTTATGAATTGAAATACTTCTCATTAAAATGGAAGATGAAGGAGTATAAAGACTTATAGATAATTAAGTGTGACATATTAACATGAATTTTTTTGCAAACCTGGATCTACTCGTGTTAATGGAGGAAACTCATAATTTCTAAATTCAATGTCTCGCTCCTCGCTTTCTGCGTTGTCGTCTGCTACCTCATCAGTAGGACTATCTCTAACATTTTCCTTATCACCCACAGGTCCGAGATTGTCAGTTTCAGTATCATTGTTCAACGTCAATATTATCGTTAGATTTGCTGCACGTGTCCTTTGAACACGTGCCCTCGTCTACATCCGGTTGAATGTTCGATACAAACTCCGGTAAAAGACTGCTGTAACACTAAAAAAAAACATTAACACTTTTCTAAATTCCATATTGATGCGGACTTTCTCTTTTTCTTTTTTATTCTCTCCTAGAACTGTTCTATAAGTAAAATTAGATCTTTCATTTAAAAATTAAAAAAAAAATATTTGAAATTATACATATCTGAAAACAATTTTCAAACTTGACAAATATAAAAAATATTCGTTGAGTGTTTGATCTATAATTTTAGAGTAGCAAAGTTGAAACAAGTGGACATCAACAAAGTTAAGTTGTATGAAATATCTATCCTTCATCTATACCTGTACCTTTAGGCAACATTTATTATACTAATTTTAACATTTAGTTGTTTTCCGTAACCTAAATCCGATCAAGTAAATTAAAATCCGGATGTACGATGAAGTTTTGTAGTGATTTTACGATAACTGTTAGCAAATAAAATGTTGGTAAATTAGTGTTAAACTGTTCGTTTGATGTATACATTCGTGTAAAATATGAGTTAATATTACAACTGTTACAACCCATTACTAAACTGCAATTAAAATAATTTTTTTCCTTTTTTCTCTTTTTTTCTTTTTTTTTATTTACCTAATATATGCTGTATCATATTAAAATTTTATTTTACGAAATCAATAATTATAAAACTTGAAAATAACTATTCGCCTTAGTCACTTTTGGCAAATTCTAAGTTAAAACAACAAAAACCAACAACAACAGTAAAAACAAAACACCCCCCCCCCCCAACAACAGCAACCACCCCCCCCCCCAAAAAAAAAAAATAAAAAATAAAAATAAAACCCAAACAACAACCCAAATTAACCAAAATACAACAACAAACAAACAAATTAATACAATTTACATTCAATTTGAATAGAGTAAATTTAAGGAGTTAAACAGAATAAGTTTACTTTCAATAACTTTTATAATAAGAAGATGTCATCACGAAAAGGGTAAATGTTAAAAATGACAAAAAATATATTAAGAATGACAAAATATTAACAATTATTGTAATATATTCCCCATGATTTTTTAAAAATGTAATCATGAATGCGACGATTTATATGAATGTGGCAATATAAATAATGCCACTATTCATGCATTTTGGTTTAATATTTAAAATATAACGATCGTTTCACTGTTATAAATGCATAGACACAAAATCAAACAACACTATATTTTTAAGAGCCCTTATAAGTTTAGTAGTGTAATTATAAAAAAATGTATATATAAACCAGGTCAATTCATTAATTTAAAACTAACATTTTTTGACACATTAAGGAATAATAGATCAACCATTATGTCATAAACATTCGTAACTAGTTTAAAACCAGTTTGAAAATAAAAAAATTATTTCCAAACGTTTTAAGGTGACATTAAAAATGACCAGTAAAGGAATTTTTTTATAAAGAATAATATTTTAAAAAAAATGCGACCGGTAGGAAGTTAAAGCAGTAGCAGTGAGCAAGTAGCAGTAGCAAGTAGCAAATTTATAAAACGTGAAGTTGGCAGTAGCAGTAGCTCAGCAGTAGCAGTAGCAAAACTATAAAACGTGAAGTTGGCAGTAGCAGTAGCTCAGCCACCCGATCCTGTTTTGTTAGCTGCTACTAGCACATTTTTATTAGACTTATTTCTGCTGCTACTAGCACTAACAAAAGACGCCTTTTCCAAACTCCTCACAGCGGTTACGTCACGCTTTGTTACTGTACTGATCAGGGGAAGTAACCGCTGCGAGGAGTTTGGTTACTTACAGAAGTAAAGTTTACATGACGGACTAATAAAAATAAAGGCGTAACAGTGGGATCAATTATAGTTTGCTTTCATTCTTTTTTTTTTTTAAAAATAGTTTCACCGCTCTTCATGAATGTCTTTCAAGAAACAGCAAAGGGTTATGGATCGAAAAAATAATCGGGCTTTTCGTTACTTCGTATATTTATTATTGAGCTCATAAATTATATTAGATGTAGGCCCTATTTTATTATAAGTAGCAGTGCACTGTACAGCACACTTCCAACAGTATCTCGCTTATGGACTTATCTTATTATTGAGACATGAACTAGAACTTTTTAAAACATGATTTATAGCATATTTTTACATTCTATTTATAAAAAAGGAAGTGGCTAGCCGTACGGGCCCGTACGGCTAGCCAAAAGTACTAGCCGTACGTGAGTCACGTACGACTAGCCAGGACACACTGTATTGGCTAGCCGTACGGCACTTTTCAAAATTACATGGAAGTCGAAAATGCATATGTTATTTTATGACTTTAAGCGAGGATTTTAACCAAGAAACAGCAATTGTCTTCGTATGAAAATAGCGTTTGGTTGCAGTTAAATAACATCAATTGAAATAGTTTACAAAATTTTGATAATAATCCTTTTTTGTTTCTTGTTGTTGGGCTCTGATAATTGCGTCAATTACATACGGTATAGAAGTTTGTCCGTCATTAAGGAAAGTTTGCATGTTCCATGAAACGCATTCTAAAATTCTATGTAGGCTTTAATTAAAGCTTATTAATTGATTGTGCTTTTATGTTCGATATTTATCTACTGTATTTGAAAATTATTAAATTACGTATTTTTGCTTTTCACCGTTTTTTTTTTTCAGTATTCTTTTTTTATTTATTTATTTATATATTTATTTATTCCCCTCCGATCATTATTTTTTCGATCCATGAGCTTAATTAACAAAAATGATTTAACAATTCATCTTTCATACAAATAAAACAACAAATCATAAGCATGAAAATCAAGGACGTTAAAACTTATAACATGCAACGATGACACTTTTATCAAAATAGATTATACAACGCTTGTTCGTATTCATTTTTTTACAAAATGGCGGAGCATCTTTATTAAAGTGAACACACTAGGACAAATGCGGAGACTTGATTAAAATCCTCGTTTAAAGACACAAAATAACATATGCATTTTCGACTTCCATATAATTTTGAAAAGTGCAAAATACAAATAAAACAACAAATCATAAGCATGAAAATCAAGGACGTTAAAACTTATAACATGCAACGATGACACTTTTATCAAAATAGATTATACAACGCTTGTTCGTATTCATTTTTTTACAAAATGGCGGAGCATCTTTATTAAAGTGAACACACTAGGACAAATGCGGAGACTTGATTAAAATCCTCGTTTAAAGACACAAAATAACATATGCATTTTCGACTTCCATATAATTTTGAAAAGTGCCGTACGGCTAGCCAATACAGTGTGTCCTGGCTAGTCGTACGTGACTCACGTACGGCTAGAACTTTTGGCTAGCCGTACGGGCCCGTACGGAAAAGAGTCAACTCGGCCCTATACCAACTCGGCACGGGTCAACTCGGCACGGGTCAATTCGGCCCACTTCACAAAAATATGTATAACGTATTAACTTTGCTATGCATGTTGTTAAGGTAAATGAATAATAAGAAATATCTTATTACTATATAATTATACATTTTACTTCTTCTGAAATAAAGTATATTTAGAAAAAAAAAGTTATTTTATCTTCTTGCAGATTCGATAAAATTTATAATAGATCTAGATTCTAATAAAATGTGTTTGTAAAGTAATAATTTAAAAAAAAATGAAACAAAAACGTGTTTACTTAATATCATAAGCTTCTAATTAAATCTTCCGTAAAAGCGCATTGATTGTTGCCCGAAATTCATTTACACGTGTCATACGTTTTTTTTCTTCTATCAAATAGAAAGACCTTGTCGTGCATTACTAGTTAAAGTAATAAAGAACAGAACAGAAGTTAAATATGTAGAAATACAGTGAGATACGCAATCATTTATCTTTACTCTCAATTCTACTGATAAGAAAAGCTTGTCTGCTGCTAGTTCGAAACTGTCAATCCGTGTATTATAAATAATTACAAAAATTACAATAAATATTGTTAACACAAACCAGGTACGTATATTAACATACGTACCTGCACAAACCTAAACATTAATAATTGAAAAGTGGGCCGAGTTGACCCGTGCCGAGTTGGAATAGGGCCGAGCTGACTCGGGGGCCGAGTACGTTTTAGGGCCGAGCTGACCCGGATTCGCCCGTACGGCTAGCCACTTCCTATAAAAAAATTATACCCTCTCGGTTTAAACTTTTATTTAGTCTCAATCGCGCCGACGCTTACAGTACACTGTATTAATCGCCCAATGAATGACACTGATAAGTTAAGCGACTGCACCACGTTGTTAAATGTCCAGTTTAAACTTTAAAGCTTCTTTAAAAGGAAAAATTAAATACAGCCTGCACATGTATGCAGCCGGTGTCGGAATATTTGATGAATGGACAGAAAGAGACGAGAAATGGGAAGATAAAAAAGAGAGTGAGAAAGCTGATGGTCATGCTTTATTCACTGCGCATGTGGCCAGGATTGGCAGGAACAAAAAATGTTAATATTATAAAGAAAAAGAAGGTAAATCATGACGTTTGAAAACATCTCATTATGGTTTATGATTTATTTTTTGTCTTGGACCAAGATTCTATTGGTAATATCATAAATGAAAATGGTGCAGCCTGAGGGGGACACAAACCCGGGACCTTCGGAATATCTTTCCGCGGCTCTACCGACTGAGCTATCCGGCCACTTACACATCTTCTCCCCTAATAAGTGAACAGTTCTGAACCTTGACATACTCCCCTGTTATATTGAAATTCCTCCTGGAGTTTCACAGAGTTACAGAGCAATGTAAATTAAACTGAGCTATATCCAGTCACGGCCCAACATTTGGCGCCAAATGTCATAGGGTGAGAAAAATGTGTGGCCTAATTAGAACCCGGGACCTTTGGAATACCGTTCTACCGACTGAGCTATCCAGCTGCTTACACATCTTCTCCCTAGTCCAACCAATTGTACTGCGTGACAAGATATTGTGCTATTTTCGTGTCTGGTCAATATCTCGCCTCTACAAGATTCTGCCCCAGAACAAAAAATATCTCAGAATCAAGCCTTGGCATGTCAAAATATATTGACAAATCTTCTCCCCTAATAAGTGAACAATTCTGAACCGTGACATTAATATGAAATTAGGCAAAGCCTATGAATGTGGCAGTTGGTTAAAAAAATCTTCTATTTTTCAATTTTAATGGTGTCATTTGGTATTTCATGCATTGCTTCCATTTTCACTCAGACCACACGATAATTAATTTGAAAAGTTGTGTAGTCAGTTATCAGAACACCTGGCCTATTATCATTGAATTACATTGAAAATGGTGGCGCCCATTTACTAAGAACTGACACTGAAAATTTCATTGATAGGTATAGAATTCTTTATATTTTTGTTTTTTATTCGATTTCTTTTTAAATATACATGTGTAGTCTAAAGCGGGGCAAGCAAAATCAAGCCTGCTTCGTGGTCCTCAGGGCTTTGACTTCCCCAAAATATGAAATTAGTTGCTACCTATGCAGGTTACCTGCTAGTACTGATTCCTGATGTGCTCTAAATATTATAGGACAAGGAACCAAAATTGTGCTTATGAATATTACCCATAATTATGCTGTATGCCTACTTCCGACTAAAGTTTTTAAAACCATCACTTCTGGAGATACTTGCGTTACCGTAATGCTCACTCTGCAAGCCGGCCTGCTCTTAGAGCTCCCTATTACCAGGGTATTTCAAAAAGTAACTATTTGAAAGACAATGTATTATTTACCTGCCCTTGCTCATCTAGAACAAAATTACTATACAGCACCCATTTACTATAATATAATAGAGCTGTCATTGAGTCAATGCAAAGCCCCGTCGTTGTTTCCTTGAGCAAAAAACTTTACACTCATTGCTCAGTACTGGTTGGTTCCAGGAACGGATTCGGAAGTGTGTCTATAAGCTTAAAGCTTCCTACACAATCGGACTAAAATAAATTCTGTATAAACCAATGCAAAGCATATTGACTATATACCAATATCAGATGACAAACATTCAACGATACACTGATATATTGATAAATACTCCTAACTCCTTGTATATAATACTATTTCATACCTGTTTTAATGATTTAAGGAAAATGAATGTTCTGTTCATGCAAATATGCTGTAGCCCTTTTCCAAATGACCTTTGCAACGTTTTCATTTCTGACCATATTTTGTCATGACTGCTATGAAATTTGTCCATTATGTAACAACAGATTAGTGTTAGACATGGCCACCTGTTTTTGTATATATATGTTCTTAGTGAATTTTTATAATTTATAGACATTTAAAAAATTTATCGAAATAATCAATTGTTTTAAAATACCGTATGTATTAATTATTGATAAACAGAAAAATATTAACAATACATCAATATCATCTCTATCGATGACAGCTCTACTATATAATATTATAAAGAAATTATACAAAGAATATAACTTGTCCTAGTGTTTTCCCCTGACACGGTCATTATTTTGCTCTCGCATTTTTTTTTTAAGTGAGACAAATATTCATTCTTTAATACAGGCAAAAATAACTACATGTATATAGATATCTTTCAGTAACCGTTGAAAAAAATAGGATATTCAACTTTTTTCTATAAATGCAGGATTTATTTTCATTTAGTGGCATGAAAATAAATATTTCATGAGTGTCAGTTTCATCTGTTTATTATACACATTTTTTCCCTTTTAAGCTCGACTATACGAGTATATGGAGAGCTGTCCTACTCGCCCCAGCGTCGGCGTCCGCATCCAGATTTCAGATTAAAGTTTTGGTGCAGTAAAATATTTTTCACTATAACTTTGTCATTTCTTAAGGTATCAACTTCAAATATACCTTATCATCAACGACATCTTATGTGACAAGGTTCATAACTCTAGCACCAATATTTTCAGATTTATCTCCCCTTGAACTTTGACCTCTAAGTGTTACCTTGGAGGTAGGGACCCATGTTTTGTGACTGACATATCGTCTTATTATTGTGATTATTTGTTTAAAGTATTTTTAAAATCCCTTGATCTATGAAAAAGTTATAGACTGGACACAAAATATACCCTATAACAGACTATGTATATCTTTGACCTCTAAGTGTGCCCTTGATCTTTCAGGTTGTGACTATTTGTGCCAAGTATTTTCAAAATCCCTTGATCTATGAAGAAGTTATGGTCGGGACACAAAATATACCATATAACAGACTCTGTTAACCTTTGACCTCTAAGTGTGACCTTGACTTTGGAGGTAGGGGTGCAGGTGTTAAACTTGACATATTGTCTTATTATCGTGACTATTTGTGCCAAGTTATTTCAAAATCCCTTGAACTATGAAGTTATAGATTGGACAAAAATATACCCAATCTTACAGACTATGTTAATCTTTGACCTCTAAGCAGTCATCTTATTTAGCACTGGCCCGGTGGCACATGGCCAGTGAATATTAGTTCGGGCCAGTGAAAATTTTAAGAAAATTTAGTTAAATATATAGTAGAATAAATTCAAAACTGGAATTCGGGCTAGTAAATTCAAAATCTTAAATTCATTGACTGTCTAAGTGTGACCTTTACCTTGGAGGTGGGATGCACCGGTGTTGTGCATGACACATCATCTTATTATAGAGACTTTTGTGCCAAGTATTTTCAAAATCCTTTGATCTATGAAAATGTTATGGACTGGACACAAAATATACCCTATAGCAGACTATGTGAATCTTTGACCTCAAAGTGTGATCTTGACCTTGGAGGTAGGAGACTGGTTGTTGCACATGACACATCGTCTCATTATTATGAACAATTGTGGCAAGTATTTACAAAATCCCTTCAAAATAGGAAAGTTATGGACTGGATATAACATATACCGTCAAATAGACAATGTTGACCTTGAATAAGCAAATGCGACCTTGACCCTGGAGGTAGGGGTCTGGTAATTGCGCATGACACATCGTCTTATTATAACAAACATTTGTGCCAAGTTATTTCAAATTCCTTTGATAAGACACGAAAGTGTGACGGACAGACGGACGGAGCCTATTTCCATATCCCCCTTTTTTCTTTGAAAAGGCAGGGGACAATAAAGCTATAACATTGAGTCTACATTATGTTGCTACACATTGATAAATTCTACTTGTCAAACTGATTTTTAGGTCAAAAGGTCAAAGGTCACAGTGACTTTAAAAGGATAAGGTCAATTTTCACAGAAATTAATAAAATTATTTGCTTTTAACCTGGTTTTCTTATCGAGTTTCATAATGTGATGCAATATACAAAGGGAACTGAAGCCTTAAATTATATTTTCAAAGTAATGCCGCCTTTTGTACTTTAATGTTTTGCCCTCATTAACTTTTTCGTTGAGGTTAATTTCTCAAAACGTCTTAAAAATATTCACGTTAAACTTGTTATACATGCTTACTATTAAAATTGGAATGCATTTCTAGAGGACAGATAACCCTGAAAGGCATTTTCACTAATTATCTGCCTTTTATTTTTCATGACTTTCTTAATACTTATTACATACATATATATTCAACTCAAACTTGAAATACCAAAGCAAAAATTTCTGCTAAACAATTTACCAAATTATCAGGTATATTTTCACTTTCTTATTTTCTTTCAGATTTAAGTACACTGTCAATGAAAGAACAAAACAGTTTAGCATTGGAAAAGTTGAAAAACAAAAGGTAATATGATTTTACATTTTTAGATTGTAGGAACTAAAATATTTTAAAAATGGATTAATATAATTATGCTTATATAGATTTCTCTCTAAACTTGTCTCCTGTGCCCAATAAAATTAGTTTAAATTAAGAAACTAAGAAATATTTATAATATACTATATATTCTGTATTATGACTACTCAAGATTCATATATGTGAACTCTCCCTTTTTAAGCGGGAGACTCCCTCTTTTTCCTGTCAAATTTTTAAATAATTTTTCTTAGAATAAGGGGTGTTTAAAAAAAGAAAGAAATCTCCCTCTTATTCATTTCAAAATTTCCTTCTATATCTATTTTCAATTAAAAAGTCTCCCACTCTAAGAAGTAAATTCTCCCTCTCAGTCTGGAACATTGAAAAAAGTTCACATGTATGAAGATTATCAAAACAAAACATTGTCTTCATAATTGATGTCCAAGCTGTCTAATAATAGTCTCTTCATAACAGTTGTTTAGTCATATATTATTTCAGGACTAATTTATACCAATAATATTTAAATGTTTGATCATTTATATTGTATATAGCTGCATTAATATAAATGTTTAATTGTATGTCCAGTCAGTCAGAAGAATAATGTTATGCAAACATAAAAATAGCAAACATACATATCAACAACTCAATTTAATTATTGTAGAAGCATATAAACATATTACATATTCATCGCTATACATTCATTTGCGGTGGTTACATACAACATGAGAAGAGCATGAGCATTAATACATCAATATCATGTGTATGTTAGTAATATCATTATATCAACATAATTATATCCCACACAATTGTTATTGTCCAACAACATTGACCTGGCACTCTTGCATTTGACCCCGTAGTCGGTAAATTCCGTAAACGTTACTATTTGTAAATCGATATGAATGTATATAGCCAGTTGTGAAATGGTCTAAATTACAAATCCCTCTTAGCACAGTCAATAAGGGCTTTCACTTGAAGAATATAGACGTGAACTCGTAGGTTCGAATCCTGGTTCAGCCACTTTTATATTTTTCTTCTTATTTTAAAATTGCAATTTCTCTCTTAACTCGTGCAAAACGTTTTGATTTTTGGTTGTGTATTTTATCTGTGTATTATTTTAATTTGCATTATGAACGTGCTGTCCTTTTTATTAATAAAATATAAAGTTATGAAATAAACAATAAAATTGTATAAAAACCACTACTTAAAAGGTATCCTAAAAATCAGATGCAGTAAAACTATTTCAAATTAATTCTTGCAAGTAAATTTTAAAACGAGAAAAAAAATGCATGTCCTCATAACGTGGTATTGGTCAGGTATCGAACCAGGGAACTTCAGATCAGTAGTCAGGCATCTACACCAATACACCACAACTCATTGACGTGTGAAATTAATAAAGATATCAATATATTTTTAGATACCACTGTTTATCACCTGACCTTTACGGAAATTTAAATGAAGTGCCAGGTCAATATTGTTGGACAATATATCAACAAGAATCTGTGTTTGATAAACACAAATGCCCCCGCGCTTACTGTTGTCAATAATTTAACTTTAGAGAGTGAAGTAGCTAATTTGTATGGAAGACAAAATTCTACTTTGTTTACATTTTGCCACTTTTATGATAATTATTTCATATTAGGCGCTACTTTCTTTAGGATTTAAGCATCTAACAATGTCATACACTGTTATGAAGTTCATGTTTGCCCTTTTAAAGAAATAAAACTTCATTCATTTCTAAGGCATTTATGTGCCTTTAAAAACTTTATGACAACAACAACACAGTGATCATAAATATGAAATAAATCTGTCAATATATAAAGGCTGTATGGGCAAAAGTGTAAAAATCTATTTTTAGCACTGTTGACCTTGACCCAACTGACCCCTAACTCCATCCAAAAGAAGAATACCATGTAAGTTATCTTCCAACCAATTATAATACAAATCTGTCAATATAAGCAAAAGTGTAAAAATCTATTTTTAGCACTGGTGACCTTGACCCAACTGACCCCTACCTTCATCCAAATGAGAATACCTCAATTTTATGTTCCTACAAAATATACAAGACATCTGTCGATAGAATAAGGTTAATACACCTGTAAAAGTGTAAAAAAATCTATTTTTGACATTGGTGACCTTGACCCAAATGACCCCTTACTAAAGGAAAAGGAAGAGGACCTCCCTTGGTATTACTATTATAAACATGAAAGACATTAACTTAAAAATAAAGGCTGTATGAGCAGAAATGTTTAGATTTATTTTTTTACAAAAGTGACCTTGACCTAGAGACGCCGAACGCCACAAAAAATTAGAGGACCGTTAAAGGTATCCACCTACCAAATATGAAAATTATCATTAAATTAATTAAGTAATTAGGTGAAATTTTTTGATAAATCCAACTTGGCGGAATAGGTTAACCATACAAGGCCCTATTTTCAAAGTGATAAAAAGGGAAATTACTGGGAAAATGGATGGCACATTTATATAACTTAGCAATATCATGTACATTGTATGGATAAGTAAGTGTGAAAATTATTAAGCCATAAGTTCAGATAGAACATAAGATATTTCCAACTTGCCGGTTTAGGTTAACCATTATTCATTTTCTAAGTGCTGAAAAGGTTCATAACTTGGTGCAAATGGAAGCCATAGTTATGTAACTTGCCCAGATCATATACTTTGTATGGATTAGTAAGTGTGTAAATTATGAAGCCATTGGTACAGGTAGAACTTAAGAAAAATCCAACTTGCTGTTCTAGGTTAACCTCGTACGGACAGACGGACGGACAGTTCAATTACTATATGCCCGGGGGCATACAAATTAACACTAATGGAAAAGACACAAGACCAAAAAAACGTGACACTTAATTGTTTGATACACTGTCCTAAATTATTGTGTTGATTGTTGATAAATGGATACTGTACTGTTTCATGCATGGTGTAAATGATATTATGATTTTGCACATGAATTCAGTGCCAGATAAGTATCATTTTTTTCTTTTTTATAAAAAGGCCAATGTATGAGATCAATTAGTTTCACATGGCTACATTGTAAAATACAAACACATGCATATTGTGATAATCAAATAGCACATATTTAGAAAAAGTATATCATCCGGTACTTTTCTTATTTGATCAATAATCAATTTTACTAGTTTACACAGAATACTTGTTTGATTTGAAGTTAACAATCCTTTAAAGTTTAATAAAATGTTATCTAATTTTAGACGAGGCCTTTTGACTGAAGGGGGTTATACAGGCATTATTCCATCTTGAATCAAGTCCAGAAAAGGTATACACTGTTTTATACATTTATTGATGGAAAAAAAAGAAAAAGTGTGAAGCATTTTTAATGTATACACAACATATAATCAATTTCTATCTATTGCAAATTATTAATGATTGAACCTCTTTGGCAAATAAAATCTTCCAAATATCTGCCTTGTTTCATTAAAGATAACAATTTGTTTTAATTATATTATTTGAAGACAACAAGTATTATGAATTTTATGACAAGGTTTAAACAAAAGCAAAGAAATTGTAAAAGAACAGAAATAAATCAAATTGTAAATTGGTAGGTCAGTTTGTTAAATATCTGTTATAGAGTTACTTTTAAACTCGTACAGCCATAACTGCCATATTAGTTTCTGGTAATTTTATGACAAATTTCTAAGTACTGAATCAGAAAAACATTTAAAAAACATTCAAACATATATTTATAACAATTTAACTCCTACAACTACTAATTTCTTACAACATGCTGCAAATCCAAGTTTTATGAGTAACCAAGAAAAGCTGCTCGTGTTACATGGCACACAAAGAGCGCAGACCATGAGAGAGAACTGTCTAGTGCACAAAATCAAGTACCAGAATATATCGCAGAATACAGCAGAAAGAATTTTTTTTTTTTTTTTTTTCAGGGGGGGGGGGGGGGGGGGGTCGGCTAAATATTGGTCAGTCAGTCTGTCTCTTGGTTGGTCTCCTTCATGGTTTCAGGATGATAACTGGAGTTTGGAATGAGTTATTGTAATCAAACTTTATATATAACAACTTTATGTTGAAACTCAGGTTGGTATTGCTTTTGGACCCCCTGGGGTCATTGTTGAGGCCACTCAGATACTAAAAATAGAAAAAGGGTTTCTGGAGAATAACTAGAGTTAGGAATGAGATATTGTAATCAAACTTGGTATATATCAAGCTCATATGAAGACTGGGGTTGGTTTTGTATTTGGACCCCTGGGGGTCAAGGTCACCATAATGATTACTGAAAGTAAAAAAATGGTTTTTGGACAATAATCAAAGTTAGGATTGGAAGTTTGTAATCAAACTTGGTATATAGCAAGCTTATATTAAGGCCTCCACTGATATTTCATTTGGAGCCCCTGGGGTCAAGGTCACCATTACTAAAAATAGAAAAATGGTTTCCGGACAATAACTATAAGTTCAGGATTAAACTTGTAATAAAGAAAGCTTATATAAAGACCTCTACTCGTATAGCATTTAAACCCTCTGGGGTCAAGGTAAAGGTCACCGTTACTAAAAATAAAAATATTGTTTACGGAAAAAAACTAAAGTTCAGTCACAATTGCTCAATTTCTAAATGGGAATGCATTTCTAAATGACACATCAGTAATAGCATTGTTAGTGTGTCTGTCTGTTTAAGTAACCTTGTTAGGTTAATGAACCTTATAATTTTAAACAAATAATAGATGCATATGATAATAAAAAGAATACAATTGAATTTAAATAGAAAAAAATGGTCCCTTTATAATTCATTTTGACACAAAATTTGTTTGTTAAACTGTCTAAATTTGTGTTATGGTCAAATAAGTTTGTATTTTTTTTTTAAATAACAGCATAAAATAATGCTTTAAGATTACAATGTTATGTAAAGAGAAAATTATGTTACACCTGAAATGATAACTTAAAACAATAGTGATATATCATTACAATATACATTGCTGCCCTTAGTATTAAGGCTTCTCAGATTCTTAGACAGGACATAAAATAACTCATTATGCATTTCAGGAGCCAGGCTGCCAACTGCGAGCTTAAAAAAATAACCAAAAAATTAAAGAATACATCAACAAGTATAATTTCATAGGTGGGAGTCCAACAATACCACCATCAACAAGCACATTTGCGGAAACCTTTCCCATACCTTTGTCAGTGAAGCAGCAGGCAACCAGATTGTTCTGCCTTGAGAAGAGAGCTGCTGAAGAGCATGTATTAGTCAAATCATGAATAGGGTCCATTTCTGAATACTGTGGGACAGAAAAATGTGCATTGGTAAAAGAGGTATTATACCTTGAAAGAACTTTCAACTCCCTCTTGTCGCATTTAAAATGCATCTCTAAATGCCCATGACAGTTTTGCAGGCATGGTTGGACTTTCTAAACTGAGTGGTGCCAGGAGTTATGGATCTGAATCTGTGAACTGTGAAGCTCTGCTTAACTGTGAGGAGGATTTAGCTAAAGACAGTGAAGACCGATATAGTAATAGTAACTTGGTTGATACATTAAATTACATCAGCCAGTTTAAGTGATAAAGAAGACCAAATTTTATTGCTTTCAAAGTGTATTTCTTGTCAAGTAGTCATAATATTTACTGAAAATTATTAAGATGAAAACCAGACTTGTAAACAAGTGGTTTGTGAAAATTATGAAAATACTTAACTTGTGAAGAGTTCATATTCAATAGTGCTGTAAATTGCAATCAATCTAATATTCATAAAATCAATTAGAGGAGAACCAGACTTGTTAGAAAGTAATGTTGATTTAAGGAAATTCAGACTTTTGAAAGTTAATTTGTGAACATTTGGAAAATGATGAATATATGTCCAAGACATTATAGTGACAATTATTGTAAATCTAGCATTCAGAAAACTAATGAGAGGAAAAGCAGTTTTGTGAAGAAATAATGACTCCACTTACAGATTTAAGAAAAGCATTCTTAGACCTATCAGAAAGTTATTCAGGAAAATGCTGAACTTGTGAACCATTGATGTCCAATTCAGTTATAAAAATTGTGGTGAATGAAAAACCTGATTAGTGTATTCAGTTGTATGAGGGGAGAATAAGGCTTTCCAAGAAATTTTGTCGGTTGTGGTAGGTGTGTGAAAATGAAAAAAAAAAAAACAGTACTTTATAAAAATGTGAATGCACTTCTAGAGAGGAAGCTATAGATCAAAGCTGATAACCAGAACTTTAGGGAAAGTAATATGCTAGCCAGTTAATTGAAGGAAAACCAAAATGGACCTGAAAGTGGAAATGATATCCAAGCTGGTACTGTATGATAAAACAGTCCAAGCTAGTGAGAAGTATAGTCAGGACAAACTAATAGGAATGATGCATAGAAGCCACTCATTCTACACAACTAGTATATATGATAATTTGTTTAGAAATGTAATAATTTCTTCATCAGGTGTGAATGTGTGAAGATATCTACCAGGAGGCATCACACTGAACAATTCATTTTTTAATGATTCTCTTTTTTATTCATTTATTAGTAACTATCTTCTTTTCTATCCGGTTAGATTAATTCGATGCATTAAAACTTAGTCATTAGCTTATTTTGTTTTAGTTGATTTCAAGTAACATTATACACATGTTTTTGTTTGGCAATTTAGTTTTTTTTTGCGGTAGACACTGATGTGACAGAGGGTATATTAGTATTTTTATGTCTTATGCTAAGACTCAATTTATGGAAAGCATATCTTACCTTAGGTTAATTTGTATATTTTTAATAAAAATATGTTTGTTTAAATAAAGAAATTACTCACTATAAAGAAAGCTTAGAAACCAAAATGCTGGAAAAAAAATAATGCAGACAGTCTTTCTTCAAATTGAAATACAAATGTAATTTTAAGGACTTAAGTTTCCAAGCACTGTAAATGATTTAACTGCTTTTGCTAGTAAGGAAATGAGAGGGTTACCGTTAGATTTTTACTGAACACTTGTCAATCTTTTTTATTTATTTTCTTTCAAAAGATTATAAGTTAAATATGATGAAATTATCAATTTATGTAATGGGTGGATGATGGCTGGTCAGTGTAACACTTCCATTAGCTTTAGTAGTTCAATGATAAGAACACTTTCCTCCAATGGAAAGAGATCTGAGTTCACACCTCAGCTGAAGCAGGAAGTGCTGTTGCAGTCAACTTATTATTTATCTTTCTATGAAAAAAGTTCTCCCCATAACTTAATTGTATAACTTAATTTTAATGGGAATCAATTTATAATAAGAATAAAATGTTTAATTGATATTAGAAAATGTATGCTTTTCAAATTTTTTTTTTAAAGGATACCCAAAAATGTTAAAGTAATAAAAGCTACAAATTTTGTCTTTCTAACAATACCAATTTACATAGATTGTAGATAACAGAGATACTTAAGCAGCTCCTGTATACTCCATTGAAATATCACTCATGCCTATGAACAAGTGAAAAAATAGGCATTTTGTAGCAAATAAAACTTAATGGATGTACATTGGATATTTTTATATTATACACCTTTTGAAAGTTACAATCTTTTATTTATTGTGCATGTTAAAATATTGGTAATTTTCCATGCCTTTCACTTAGAAAAACATAGCAGAACATACCCAGTAAGCCAGATTTTTCATCATATCAATAGTTTTGTAACAAAAAAATTATAAGTGGTTCTCTTTAAAACTTGATATATCATTTTTTTAAATGGATTCTGTAAATGTTTTTACCTGCATACATAGACAAATGCATAAGCTTTCAGAAAATGTATTATTTTACTGATTTTGATATTTGGTTAATAAGTTTTACTTGCTACAAGTTTAAATATTTTAACAGGCTAGGAAGTTGCTAATCTCTGTTATCTATGTCTCTCACCTAGGCATAATTATGAAATATCACATTAACCTTGTGTATCTTGCAATTGCTAAACAACTTTGTGTTCTTAGATATGTCAATTTGCTATCTGTAAACAATGATTAAATTAATGTGTGTCATAGTACGAAAATTAGATTATTAAAGACATTTTACCTTAAATTTGTTTCTTGCACTTTAAACCATCAAATCTTAATTATATCAATCAAACCTTATCTTAATCATATCCAACAAGCCTTAATTTAATTATATCTATTAACATTATCTTAGTTATTTCAATCAAGCCTGGTCTTAATTATATTAATTATATCCAACAAACCTTATCTTAATTATTTCCATCAAGCCTTATCTTAATTTTATCCAACAAACCTTATCTTAATTTTATCCAACAAACCTTATCTTAATTATATCCATCAATCCTTATCTTAATTGTATCAACGGCATTTAATTCCATCAAACCTTATCTGTATGATATACATCAAGCCCTTTCTTAATGATATCAATGAAGTCTTATTTTAATTATTCCATCAAGCCTTATATTAATTATATCCATCAAACTTTTAATTATATCCATAAAGCCTAATCTTAATTATATCCATGAAGCCTTATCTTAATTTTATATCCATCAAACATTATCTTAATTACATCCATCAAGCCTTATCTTAAATATATCCATCAAGCCGTATATTAATGATACCCATCAAGCCTTATCTTAATTATATCCATCAAGCCTGATCTTAATTATACCCATCAAGCCTGATCTTGAATATATCCATCAAGCCTAATCTTAATTATATCCATCAAGCCTTATCTTAAATATATCCATCAAACATTATCTTAATTATATCCATCAAACCTTATCTTAATTTTATATCCATCAAACCTTATCTTAATTATAACCATCAAACCTTATCTTAATTATATCCATCAAGCCTGATCTTAAATATATCCATCAAACCTTATCTTAATTATATCCATCAAGCCTTATCTTAATTATATCCATCAAGCCTGATCTTAATTATATCCATCAAGCCGTATCTTAATTATATCCATCAAGCCTTATCTTAATTATATCCATCAAGCCTTATCTTAATTATATCCATCAAGCCTGATCTTAATTATATCCATCAAGCCTTATCTTAATTATATCCATCAAGCCTTATCTTAATTATATCCATCAAGCCTTATCTTAATTATATCCATCAAGCCTTATCTTAATTATATCCATCAAGCCTGATCTTGAATATATCCATCAAGCCTTATCTTAATTTTATATCCATCAAGCCGTATATTAATTATATCCATCAAGCCTGATCTTAATTATATCCATCAAGCCTGATCTTGAATAAATCCATCAAGCCTTATCTTTATTTTATACCCATCAAGCCGTATATTAATTATATCCATCAAGCCTTTTCTGAATTTTATATCCATCAAGCCTGATCTTAATTATATCCATCAAGCCTTTTCTGAATTTTATATCCATCAAGCCTGATCTTAATTATATCCATCAAGCCTGATCCTGATTATATCCATCAAACCTTATCTATGTATCAAATGAAGACAATTCTGGATTACTCTTTTGTAAACTCTCTATAACATATTTGCCATTCCATAGAAATAATTAGTTTCAATTTTGAACCTCTTATAGAATGAAGATGAGTAACCCAGTATCAGTAAATCTACACTGTCTGGTAGTCTGTCATAATGAACCAAAAGCCAAAAACAAAAAATTATATCTGATCTACATGTACGTATCCAGAATTTGCTGTACTTTACTGTGTGGTTATTATGTAACTTATATACATGTATTTTACCTGTTTGGGGATATTTTCATTAATATACAACCACATTTATTTGGCAAAGTTTTCTATAACTATTCGTCGGTGAAAAACTGGAAAGATTACTTTTGCATGTCAACTATGCATGTACTCGAACACAAACATATAGTTTTTTTAACTCATATATATTTCCGGGATGTTGTTGTTTAAAGTAACGGAGAAACATATGATAAGAACAAGTTAGAACAAAAAGATATGCGCATCAGAAAAGACTGTGTACTTGGACATAATCATTTTGCAATAATGTTGCATTGGATTGGTCTGCCCAGAACTTGACAAATCATTATTTTTAATGTTATACAAAATACTAATTTACTACAGTTAAACTATGCTGTTTTAATTGGATATACGGATTCATTTACATCATTAGTAATAGAATATATGTTTTTTTTTATTTGTCCCTTAATTATTACTTGACGATCTTTCCATTTAAGAAAGTTTACAGAATGATTAACACGAACATGTTTATTATCGTGTAATATTTGCGAAAAATCTCCAATTCGGCAAAGAAATGCGTATTTCACGTCCTTTGACACCAAACATATCACACAAACGATGTTGTCTCGAATGTTTTTGCCCTGTAAAATTTAAAATAATATCTTTATGATATAATGATATATAGTACGGTTTATACACCTTTTCTTGTTTTTTTTTGTGATGTCAGTAGCCCTGACGCCGAGATATGTTAAAAAAGCTTTAATTTTGTCTTTGTAAATTGTAATTTTTTTACACACATGCACGTGAACAAGCGAATTTGTTACTTTCCCGTCCGAGACATTAAAAATGCCAAATATATGTACGACCGTTCTATAACAATGAAATATTTCACTAGAGTTGAGTTTATTCAATGATTATATACTATTTGCCTTTGTTGCCATAGTTTTTATGATGCAAACTGTACAACGTACAGTATATAAGGTTGGTTCTAGAACGTACAGTATATGAGGTTGGTTCTAGAGGCCTATATAACAAAATACAAAGCACATATGAAACTACCATACATTCCATGTACATATGAAAAAACTTGTGATTAATTAGTCACTATTTGTTTATTTATAACAAACATGGTCCTACATGTATGCAGTATCCATCAACTGATTACGATATACATAAACTCAATGATGCCTATTGTGTGGTATTACACTACTAAAACTACTGAAATGTTGTCAACCGGATCATCTCGGCTTTTATTGCCTTATCCCAGGTTGGGGAGAAAAGGCCGAGAAGATACGATTGAAAAAGATGTAATTGTAATTTACCGCTTGGAATTTTTTATTTAAAAAAATATCAGTTACTGATGTTTGTATTTGAATTGAATTTCATATCTGCTCTTATAGAGTTAAAGTCGCCCGAGATGTTGCGAGTGTGAATTTGGCATTACAACACTATATATTGTGCTGACAAGTTGTCTACCTTGTTTCACTTGTGTCAGGTACCAATACGATGTGCATAATCTTATATGTTAATTTTTTGATATGATAATATATTTTGGCAGCAACACATTGGCCTCCTGTGCATGAAACTAGTATATACACATACACTATCTATTTTGTTGCCAGATTGTCCTAAATTTGTTGTATCCAAATAGCAAAGGAGGGGATATGTTTTTTAAAATTATATTTCTAAGTGATGTTTAGCATGAAAAGTACATCTGCCCGCATTTAAGTCAATCCCCAGAGTCAACAGAAGGGGGGGGGGTGCCTAATGGTTAAAATGTCTGCCTCTCAACCCAGGGATCATGGGTTCAAGCCCATGGGTCACGACCATGTTTTTGTCATATGACACCAGTACTGGTTGGTTCTAGGAAGAGGACTCGAAAGTGATTAATATAAGTTGCAAGAAATTGTTAAGCAATCAAGCTTAAAAATATGCTTAAACCAACAGAAAGGGGTGCTGTATTCTTCTTACCAAAGTACCTTCAATATGTTAACTTGTATCAATCATTTTTTATTTTGAAACATCTGGAAAGCATCATAACAAAGTTAGTTAAAAATAAAATAATAAAAACATCTAATCTTTTAGGACTTTTTATTGTTTAACAAACATAATAATCTAGCATTGAAAATACATGTAGAATGGCATCATTTTATCAAATAATATATAGTTCAATAAAGATTTTTCTTTCATTTACAATCTTGTTTTATTTTGAAATTAACAATTTCTACAAAACATTAATACAAGTAAAATATTAAGAACAATATATATACATGTATGTACAACACAATAAATAGAAACAATGAAACAACCACTCTTCATTCTTTTTCCATTTTTAACTGTCAGGAAGAAATATATCAGAGACATAGATAACATCATCTTCATAAATGTATACAAGTTAACTATATTCGTGTCAAAGAATTCTTTTTTATTAATGTTTAACATATTAACCATCTACACAGTTTTTTAGATTATTAAGAGAAAGAGCTACAGGAATAAATGGTTGGGAAGGAAAGTCGATGGTTGCTCTAGAAAGTTAATGGTCGCTATGGAAGTCAAATGTTGCTATGGAAAGTTAATTGTTAAAATATTAATTACTGGTTGCTATGGGAGGTCCATGGTTGCCATGAAGTCAATGTCTCCTATTTAAGTGAATGGTTGCTATGGGAAATCACTGGTTGCTATGGAAGTCACTGGTTGCTATGGAAGTCAATGGTTGCTAAAGGAAGTCACTGAAAGTACGGAAAATTAGTGGTTGCTATGGGAAATCATTAGTTGCTGTAGACATTCAATGGTTGCCATGTAAGTCTAAAGTTGCTATGGAAAGTAAATGGTTGGTATGGAAGTCAATGATTGCTATGGGAAGTTATTGGTTGCTATGAAAAGGCATTGGTTACTATGTAAGTCAGTGGTTGCTGTGGGAAGTCACTAGTTGCTATGAAAAGTCACTTGTTGCTATGGCAGTCAACAGTTGCTATTGAAAGGCACTGGTTGCTATGGAAAGTTAGTGGTTGCTATGAAAAGACATTGGTTCCATGTAAGTCAGAGGTTGCTATGGGAAGTCACTAGTTGCTTTGGAAAGCCTTTGATTCCTATGAACGTCAGTGGTTGCTATTGAAATTAATGGTTGCTAGTGAATGTCAATGGTCACTAGGGGGGGGGGGTCAATAGTTACTATACAAAATCACTGGTTGCTATGAGAAGTCATATCAAGAGCTGTCACAGGAGAGAGCTAAGCTCGACTTATTAAATACTGGACACAATAAGGAAGACAAAACCATGAAAGAAAGATCAATTATGATATGAATAAATTTCTGTAATCGTATCAAGAAAAAACTCAAATGTTCTATATATTTGCACAACATAATATGCATATGACCTTGTCAA